TTATTAGATCGGTCAAATCTACTAAACCTGTACAGAAATTAATTACTAAAAATAACAGATAAAATATAAAGTTTTTCTTAAGAAATGTTTGATAACTATCTGGACATTATAAAGATTTCACATGTGAAATTTCAAAATTTTCCAATGCATAAAAGTACTTTTAACTTTAAAATGAAAATTTTAAAATTTTAAAATTTGCATGTTAGATAGGCAATATGGAAAAAGAAAAAAAAAACATGAGAAAAACATTGCTTTACAAACCTTAAGACTTAATACAAAAATTTTATATATTTTGTGTATGAAAGCATTGTAATATTTACTGATAATGTATCAAATTTTGTTAACATTCGCTAACTAATTTAAAAGTTATAGCATGAAAACTATAACAAGCACAACATGGTTATGAGGTTGGTCCCACTGAGCCCGTGCTGAAAGAGTTAAAATATACATGTTCTTTGCATGTTTTAGCAACTTTGACATGATCATTGGTAGAACTTAAGTGCCTTTATCATGTGTATATTTGTTTTGTAAAAGTTATGTTGTAGTAAGACTTGAAATAGTTATAAACCAGCCATCATAAAAGTTATAGTTGATTACATTAGTTGTTTTTATTTAAAATGTTGGTTAAAAATTTTATCCTGTTACTAAAGATTATCCACTGTTTGATGTCTTCTTCTGGTAAGAAAAGTGATGTTTTAATGTATAATGTCAGTAGCAGTTCAATTCATTTTGTGATTCTTCAAGATGTGTGTGAAATAATGTTTTATGTGGAACATAAGTTCTGGGTATAAATGTTCTTACACATAAAGTACTTGTATATGAAGAAGACAAATGTAAGATTCATAAATAACTAATGAAAAGAAAAAAAAAACATTTTCATTTATTATTTGAATTAATAATTTTGTAAATAAATTGCTGTTGGTAGATTCATTTCGAGATTTGTGATGTCACAGTAGCAGAGTTTGAAGCAGAAAGTTTTGATGCAGTATATAGCAGAGACACCTTCATTCACCTTGAGAAGAAAGAAGCTCTTTTCAGACAATTTTTTGTAAGTATATTCTTCTAGTGAACAGTAGATCCTATATTTGGTACTAACTAATAAAAAAATAGATATTTTACTTGCATATAATGTTACATGTAACATGCAGGTCATATTCATGAAAATATTGCAAGTATTTACGTAATTACTTACATTGTTATTAATGTCAAGAGTGACCTGGAGTCCTTACACTGAGTGATTGTCATAGTCTTTCCATTGATGATGTCACCTTCATTGAGTGATTGTCGTAGTCTTTCCATTGATGATCAAAGCAACATATAATTTGTAAATCTATAAAAAATAATTTTTTGTAAAAACCCATTTTTACAGATCTTTAGAAATGGTTAATTTTTTTCTAACAAATAACCCACGTTTAATTATTTTGGCATTGACTTAGAAATGGCTGAAACCAGGAGGAAGGATCCTATTTACTGATTACTGTAGAGGGAATGATGAGCCATCTAAAGAGTTCAAAACATATGTGACATCAAGAAAGTACCATTTGTTGACAGTGAGTGGATATGAGAAGGTACCCAATTTTTAATCGTTATTAAAAGCTTCAAATGAATGAGTGAGTCAGTTTAAAACTAAGGTACCATTCATACTGTTCTTTTTATTTCACTGACATAACCCTATGTTCAGTGGTGGGAGTCAAAGTATGCATGCAATAATCTTTTAAGAGTACCATTCAACATGATATTATATATATATATATATATATTTGATGTTGGGGCTATCAAATATTCATTTTGCTCTACAAATTTGATTTAGCAACAGTTTGTGGTAGAGGAGAGTAAGTATCAGATACAATATAAAGAATTAGTGGAAAAAATTGTAAGTGTGTACTTCAGAGGTTCTAGAGGTTATGCAAACTGTATGATGGACATAAGTATTTTTAATCTTTACATGCACTCCAACTTGTCAGAATCTGATTTAGATTGACATTGTCAAGTCCGAGACATTTCCTGAGTACAAATACTTTTGCAACACATCTGATTTTTTGTGTACAACAGACTTTTTACTAAAAGCTTGTTACATGTAGTAAATTCAGATTTATAGTCAACATTTCTTCTCCAATACAAAGAATCAACCCTATGCACATTCTGTTAAGAATGAAATGTTTTATTAATTTACACAGTGAATATATATTATACTACCTTATGTTAATTATGTTAATAAAAGTGGCTTATCTGTATGCTTATATCATTTAACACTTGCATAAATAATTTTGTAAATTCAAGGTAATACTTTTTAATTATGAAATTTAAAAAACTAAATTTGAAGGTATATATATCAACTATTTTACATAAAACAATATCAGTATTTTTGTAGTCATCTATAAATACTGATTGCAAGCATATGCTGATACGTATTTGAATTAATACTGCATAGATACACTAATAGAAGAAATAGTAATTATCATAAAATGTTAAACAGACAAACTAAAATAATAGCTTTACATCTGATTTATTTATGTATTAAATTTGTTTAGTTCTTTCTTCAAATAATTAGTTAATTATGATTTCTTAATGACTTGTTCGTAAATAACTGATTTAGCAAGAAGCATGTTAATCCTCTCACTATGGGTAGGTCAAAGTGCACATGTCATGACTTTTTAGAGATTTTCATTTAATCTTTAATTAGACTACTGTATTGTCATGTATATAAATAAACTTGGCTTAAAATCATAGTTAATAAATCAAATCTTAATATTATATAAGTTTTAAGTTCTTAATTTTATAGGGAAATATTAAAAAATTCACAATAGTAAGAGAATTGTAACATTTGATCTCTATGCATCTCCTCTTGTCTAATTTATTTACTATCCCCCCCAAGAAGTACAGAATTTAATTGAATAACTCATTATGATATTGTTATTACTCAAGCAAAAAATAAGTTTATAGCTGTTAATCTTATTTGGTTACAGCCATAAACTAAAAAAACCAGACCCTTCTTGTCATGCCCACATTCCACATCTTCTCTTTCACAGATTGCCAGTAGTTCTCTCTGACATTTTATACTATATTATTTATAACCAATGGAAAGCCAAAGTTTTAACCCAGGAAATGAAATATTGCATTACATTTTTTCTGTACAGCGAATTGTCTATTTTGTTTCCCGTTCAAACTTTATTCCCATAGGAAACACATTGATGAGTTTAGAAAGCCAGATAAATTATAATAGTTATAGGATGTTGTCTGCTTTTTATGTCTAGTACCATTCGTATAAAAAAGTAGAGTTATGTTTCATCAACAGTTGACAGCAAGAAAAAAATAAGACCCAGGTAATATTATATTTCTTGTTTTTCATGTGTATTCTTTATTTATTATTATAAGAGTAACTAGAATTGAAAAATTTGAAACTCATTAGGTTAGATGAGTTGAAATAAGGAAATAAATATTTTTTCATGAGGTACACTCATGCATTACATAATTTGATAGGGTAATGTGAGCTACATGTTTAACGAATGATTTTCAATTTTGTATTGTGGGATTATTAATCAGAAATTGTTCAATAGAACAATATAATTTAAGTAGAAACAGATGTATACTGTTACTAGCTTTAAGCTAATTAGGATAAACAAGCCTAGTTTCCTGTTACAAATTGAAGTTATTCTAGAAAGAAAATGGGTAACTTAGATTTATTTTGTATTTTTTTTATGGTGGTTACAAGTTTAGACCAAGTGACCAACCTTGTATAAAGTTAGGGTACAGAATATAAGTTATGAAATATAAAGCTTTACTGAAAAACGTTTTAAACTTATTTAGTCGGTTTTAGAGATTGTGGAAATTTATTTTGACAATTTTCAGATGAAGAAAGTTATTTTAAATCTTAACATGAAAATTACTCTGCACTTGGAACAGTCAAAACTTTGACTTCATATATTCACAGAGAAATTTTTAGTAAAAACACTTCATTAAAAATTTTAATATTTTGTCTGTAAAAGACTTGTAATGCATATTGAAAGCTTGCAAAATTTCATGAAGATACACAAAACGCAATAAAAGTTATTATATGGAACTCTAAAGGCCAATTTGGGGGTCAAGATTTAGGTTGAATTGACTGAGTCTGTAGTGAGACGATGAAAGAAAATTTTTAAATATATTTATTGCCAGTGGAGAAATTAGCTAGCATCCACGTTTTTCTTACGGACAAACATTTTTGTCAGATTGAACCACGGGATTGATCAGTTTTCATTAATAATTGATACTGACTTACAATTGGAGCAAGCTATGCGCTTGGAGTGACACCAGAAATCAACCTGGCAATCATTATAGCTAATTAAATATACTGTTCTTACATGTCTATTTGTAAAGATTAAAATGCATTTTTGCACCAGTTGCTATTAACAATATTTTCAGTATAATTTTTAATTCTCCATTGAGGTTTGGCCAGTTTATAAGATTAAGGTTAGTTAGTCCTAAATACATGTATTAACCCTTTCGAGATGGGTGGGGTGAAAGGCCATGTCAATAAGTTTAGTATCAAACTGTAGATTATAATTCAAATTTTAATATGATACATTACTTAATTTCGTAATTTAATAGTAAATATTAAAAAAACACAGATAAACATCAATTTTTGTGTGTCACGTGGTATGTTGAATGCAGCACTTGTTCAAGTTAGGTTTTTGTAAGATCAAGAAACTCAAATTACCAATATTGACAAGCTAGAATATAAAATACGAACATCTTATCTTTTGTATTTCCTAAGATTTTGCTCATGTGATAAATCAAACACTGGCACTCCACCTACCTCTTTCCATTTTTGGAAATGCTCCCTTATATACACTTCTACATATGACATGAATAACCAATTGGAAGCTCAGAATGTCCCCCTAGTGGCTTTCTCAGCCATTTTAACAGCCATTTATTTCTTTTGAATCAATATTTCAAGGCGAAATATTTAGTCTGCTTGAAATTTCATATTTTTTTAGACTAAAATACATCTTAGTTACTAAGCTTCATAAACTGTAGTGGACTTTTATGGTATTGATGTAGTAACTTATGATTGTTTAGTTATTCAAGTGTATATATAAAACCTTAAAAACATTATTTTCATATCCTCCACGTGCAAAATTTTTATAGGATTAGCAACCTATGTCAAGCAGCAATTGAGTACAAAGGTTGTAAGTAGAAGAGATAATTGTTTGCTTTACTTCTTTATTTACTGTTCTACGTTTTAGGAAAAATATGTCCAACAACTTATTTCAAAGTAGCAATAATCTATTTACATATATAATGTATAATAATATACAGACCAAAGGTCAGTTTTATGTTATTGGATACGGTAACATGAGTGCACATGAGCCTTGTCATTGTAACGGTCAATATGATAAAAATAATAAATACATATAAATGTATAATGTTATGAGATTTATGCTATTTAATCTAAACATTTATGTTTTTGTGTTATAATTTGTGTTAACTCTAGAATGAGGGAGGCATAATTTATATTTATTTCCTAATTTTTTATGATGATTGTGAGATTGGTCAAATCTACCAAACTCCTACAGAGATTAATTACTGATAATAATAGATAAAATATAAAGTTTTTTTTGTAAGAAATGTTTGATAATTATCTGTACGTCATAAAGATTTTGCATGTGAAACTTGAAAATTTTCTGATGCATAAAATTACTTTTTAATCTTAAAATGAAAATTTCTTTGCATGGTGGATAGGTAACATGTGAAAAGAAAAAAGAGGCACGAGAAAAACATTGCTTTACAAACCTTAAGACTTAATAAAAGAAATTAATATGTGTATGAAACATTGTAATATTTACTGATAATCTGCCAAAAGTTATAGCATGAAAACTATGATAAGCACAAAATGGTTACAAGATCAGTCCCATGGACTGAGCCCGTGCTAAAGGAGTTAAGCTAACAATGCAACAAAACCTTTATAATAAAAGTATGATAATGAAAAATAAATTTAAAAAGTAATAACATTCAGTATATTAAGTAATATAACCAAATAATGTTTATGAAAGCAACAAAAAATAAACAGTAAAAGTAACCCTCTCTCCACAGGCTTTTTTTTTCTGCATGTCATGAGGTTTTTAGGTAGCGACATTCAAAATTTAATTAAACTACTTTTTCATACTATACCAATAAGTATAGCATAAAACAGAAGCTAATAATTTATATTTTGATAGTATATAAGTGTTAAGTTCTTAATTTTATAAAGCAATATTTTAAAAAATTCTAAATTTCCCTTAGTGTGAGAATTGTGACAGTTTCTCTCTAGGCATCCCCTCTTCTCTAATTTATTTACTGCCCCTCCTTGAAGTATGAAATTTAATGGAAATTAGTCATTATAATATTGTCATTGCAAGGCAAAGCATAATTTTCATAGCTTTCAAACCCTTCTTGCCATGCCCACTTGTCACATCCTCTCTTTCAAAAATTGCCAATAGTTCTCCCTGATGTTGAATACTTTATTATCTATAATCAATAGAAAGCTTAGATTTTCACCTATCAAATGTCATCATATAATACATTGTTTATTGTACAGTGAATTGTCAATTTCACTTTCAGTACAAGCTTTATTCCCACAGGAATTACATTGATTAGCTTAGCTGAATTTTTAATGGCTCTTGTTACATAGAAAACCAGAAAAATTGTGGTAGTTATGGGACATTGTCTGCTTTTTGCATGTTCTTCTTCTGTGTTCTTTGGTGCATTATTTAATTAGATAAAAAATTTAGTGCATTACTACCATTAGTATAAAATTGTAATATTTTCAAAACAAGACCCAAAACTCGAGCGCTTTCGAATAGTTGACTATATTACAACTTTTGTAGGTGATCCTGTGTGCTAACTACTTAACCTGAATTAGTATAAAAAGGTAGGCTTAAGTGTCATCAACAGTGAACAGCAAAAAAAAGAAGGCCCAGGTAAGTACTTTATTTCTTGTTTTTCATTTGTATTCTTTATTTATTATTATAAAAGTAACTAAAATATAAAAATAAGAAACTTTATAGTTAAAGTTAGATTGGGTAACATAAATAATAATAATAATCATATGCTAAAAAATGTTCATGAGGTCCATTTGCAAACAGCTTGTGTGTAATTTAATTTTATAGCATAATATGTGCTGCACATTCACCAATTGATATACGACTTATGATGCAAAAAGTAGTTAGACACAGTTCAAAGGGCAATAAAACAATAAAATTTAAGTATAAATAGATGTATACTCTTACGAGTTTTAAGCTATTTAGGATAAGCAGATGTAGTTTCATGTTACAAGTTGAAGTCATTCTAGAAAGAGAAAAAGGGTAATTTAGATTTCTTTCTTTTTTTTGTTGTTGTGGTTATGAGGTTGTTAAATTGACCAACCTTGTATAGAGTTAGGGTAGAGAAAATAACAGATAAAATATAAAATTTTACTGAAAACAAAATGTTTGAAATTTATTTAGGAGGTTGTAGAGATTATGCAAATGAAATTTGAGATTTTTTGAGATGAAGAAAAGTATTTTAATCTTAACGTGGAAATCACTTTGCACTCGGAATAGTAAAAAAAAGACTGTATATATTAATGAACAAATCATTAGCAAAAATACTTCATTAAAAAATATTATTTTTTGTCTATGAAAGACTTGTAACATATACTAAAATTCTGTCAAATTTTATTCAGATACACTTACTTTATTAAAATTTATAGTATGGAAATTATAATTAGTACAAAGTGGTTATGAGGTTGGTAAATTCAACCAACCTTGTACCAAGAGAGTTATGGTTGTTATTTTCCAATTGAAAATCATACTTGCAAATGTTGTTCTCTGAGTAAAGTTCTAACATCATGTTGTGTTAATCCTTGCTTACAAATTCATCTTTTATAACAATTTTTATGTTTTAGTTACTTCAAAGAGTGGGATTTGTGAAAGTGAAAGCAGAGGATAAAACTCAGGACTTCAGGGCTTCTCTTCAGAAGGAATTAAAAAAGTTGCAAGACGGAAAAGCAGAATTTTTAAACGTAAGTGATGAATAAATATATGTTTAATAATTAGGTTCTGTTTAAAGCTGTAAGAAAGAAGGTGACTTTCAATTTGAGGTGGAAAAAGTTATCGTTATTGGAAGTTTCAACAGAAATGTTGCTTGAAGACACTCGGATAGTGATCAGTATTTCATAAAAATAAAACAAAAATTTATCAAATATGATAACTTACATATATGATAACTTTAATAGTTTTCTGGATTTTTGCCCAAAATTAGGTAGTACTTCCTATTGTTGGGTGTATTTCATATAAACTAAATTTTAATAGGTTATAATTTCTATTGGTATTTTACAGTATATTATTGTACCGTGATGACATTTCTTAGGTCTTAGTAAATACCTTTCAACAATTTTCGTTACCACAAACTGAATTTTGTTTCATGGAATTAATCTCTTCTTTTCAATTGTTCAGGTGAGCCCTCATATTTTTCTGAAGACTTCAACTAAGTCAAACTGGTTTTCAGTTTCATTTGGGTACTTTATTTGAATGTTCTCTAACCTTTTGTTCGTACTTTTTTTTAGCATATGCTCTCTCGAAAACTTTGGGAGTATAGTTAATTTTGCATGTTAAATACATCACTCATGCTTATTGACTGCAAGGTTCTCTCCATAAAAAATAAAAATAAAGCTGTATTATATACCTAGATGACATGTCATCATGGGATTAACAGTGGGAAGCATGCAGATCAAAAGTAGACAGCTCAGTTTTGTAATCACTGCTACTCATGATATGTAGATATACAGTGTTATCACTATATTCTCACTAAACTTTGGTAAGGAAGAAAGTGTGACATGTAATAAAAATTGCAACTGAAAATTTCTGAAATAAAAACCAAATGTTTTTCGTAAGTTTGATTAAAGGTCAATTTACAGAGCATTATAGTAATATTTGCATAATGCAAGTGAATGAGAGGCTGTTTGTTTTGAGCTTAAGCCATGTGACTTGATTTTAAGACAGATCTAAACTTTGACAGTCTTTACCTACATCTATACTCTAGATCAACCTCTCAAGTATGCATTCATCACAGAAAAAATATCTTGTCAGTCTTTTTAATCTGCAACAAAGAATATTGGTCCTAGTTTATCCTTTGCTTCATTCCACGAGCATTATCAATGTGACATTCTCGCAGAATGAAAAATGATTGCTCAGTTTACTTGAACTGTGATCCACCTTACACTAGACTATCAGAAATTATTACAAGCAAAGCATGGGCTGTCATAATTGTTTCCAAAGAGGCACACATGTGACTGATGACCCACGTGACCACTTAGGTGTTATTTAAGTCTATTAAGCCATATTTTAGGTTGTACTTGCAAGTGAACCAAGTGCAAAAGTTCAGGCTTGGAAATGCAGTGACAGAAACACCATGAACCAGTGTGTACATGTTCCAGTGTTTGCACTTCTCTTGTAATAATGTGTGAGATACATGTAAACAGTGTACACTACTTTCAGCTGGGGTGGAGGAAACAATTTTGGATTGGTCAGGCAACTCAGAATAGTGTACAAAACATGCCAGTGCTAGGAAGGTCTGGGGACATGCCCCCCTCAGGAAAATTATGAAAAATAGGCACTCTAAGATTGAATTTTGTGCTAATTTTATTATAACTTCTTGAAAGTATTAATCATTTTGCAAGCAAGAAATAGGAGTTCACTGGCACTTAAACTCACCATAGCTATAAGCAATCACAAGCATGTACACTTGCAGATTACACATGTAATTTATTATACATTGTTAT